GAGTAAAAATGAGAAAAGGCTTACCTACTAATCACATATTTCAAGTAATGTCTGTTTGTCCCTAAGCAGCAATTCAGGACTGACTCATATACACTTTTCATACGCAGTCATTACACTGTCAGTAATGAAAAGTTAGCTGTTTCAAAGCTGGTAGCTTATATGCCCTATGTATCATACAGGAAAATTTTTTAACTAAATGACAGTGTTACCAATTGCAGCACCCCAAAACACCGCAAGAGTAATTGACCAGAGGAAGGCCACATAGTAAAAACACCACAGTTATACAGTCCCAGAAGGGAGGGGGGATAAGAACAAAATGAACTTTGTGTAACCCACAGCTAACATGCTAGCCTGACCTTGAATACGGTAATCAAAGGGACAGTGGAAACTGGCTCTAGCCGCCATGAAAGTTGCAAATGTGCAGGGAGTAAGAACATGGCAAGCCTGTGTGAATCTCCTGTGTGATTCTGTGTGAGCAGATAAGATTCTGTGTGAGCAGATAAGAAATAGACATGGGAAATGTCTGGTCCTTGACAGAAGAAAGGACTCTTTCTCCAGCACGGGAGGGCGTGCATACATTGATGTATCAATGTATTAGATGTGTATTAGGTGACCTAATTGGTTACCTAGGGTATAAAATGCATGTCCTGGGGTGCAACTTTGGAGACACTGCTTTGGGCTGAATGTCCCCTTTTGTCTCCCTTTATTCTATAGTGCACTAGAATAAAGCTGATTTTAGCTCTAAGTCTTGTCTCAGGCTCTGTTTGGCTCAGGTCTGGGGTCCACCCGGGTTTGCCCCAGCTGTTGACTGGCTCAGTCCAGTAACAACAGGGAATTAGTTTCACTTATCTCCTGGGATAAGTCCTGGGATGATTTCTGTGTAGGATGGGGTAAAAATATTTTAAATAAATAAAAAAATAAAAAATCTCAGTAGAGGGGGAAAAAGATGAACAGGAGTTGCAGCACTTTGTTGATTACCATAATACATTAAAATACTTTATCGCTTGTTTTCCTAATCATCACTTCCTATGCAAATCATCACTTCCTATGACTTTGGGTGAGCTGAGTAGTCCTAATAGGCATAGGATTGAACTGCGTCATGTCTTAAATTAAATGATAATTGCAATATGACCCAAAGAATGATATATAACTGTACCTTTCTGAGATAGTTCTTCCACTGCTTTTAAAAGATGTGTTTGTTTTTCAGTTACACCTCTTAACATGTCTGAGCACGTAATGTTGGAAAGCTGGCACCTCCGAGAGATTGGCATCTCTTTCCGAAGATGAGGTGCCAGTTCCATATCAATTGTGTAAACTTGAATCTTCTATCTGGAATAAACATACACACCACCCTTCTTACCCTATCAACCCATGCATCTTAAGATAAAAGTGCAACTCCTGAGATCACACCCCTCTCTTTAAAAGCCACTTGGGTAGGAGCTTATTCTTATTTGGCTTATTTTACAGCCAAACAGCTCCACTACAGTGAAATATCATTTTTCTCAGTCCCTTAGGACTGGCTGATACTTGCAGTATCCCCTCTCAGTGCTAATTGAACTGACTTCTGGGTGGCATGAAAGCAGCCCCACCCAGGTCAATGACACATGGAGAATTCTGAGTTTGCTAACTTTTAATAGCATGCTAAAAATAGTACATACAGAATTCTGAGCATCTTATCTGTCCACACATGGTCCAATTGCACATGACATCAGTTGCAAATCATAGTAGGCATTAGCTGCAAAACCAAGGGGAGAGTTGGCGAATGATCGTGAGAACCAATCGCTCTCAACCAGAATGTATAAACTTTAGAAAAATGTCCATAATTTTTCCAGTAAAGATCCTGCACAGTTACATTAACTCGGTGGTTGTGGTGTACTAACTACCACAGTAAAATAAATAAAATAAAAATAAAATGTATATAGAGTCTTTAGGACATCTTTATGAACCTTGAAATTCTTAAGTCTCAATGGAATCTCATGAACAGTCTCATAAAAATCAGTTTCAAATCCTGTTTGTTTAATGCCAGAATAATGCTGTCTGCAATTTCTGAGAAGACCTTTCTACCAGACAGATTTACCATTGCCACCAAAGCACATGCTTATATGCCAGCTCAATCAAAACCTGACTAATCCAAGCCTAGACTTTGATCCTGACTTCATATTACCACATCTAAGAAGTACAAAAACCCTTTTCAGTTAAAGCAGATGCCTGATCACATATCACTTTAGCAAAAGTGCTGCTGGCTCCACCTGGGGGAAGAATTCTTGCAGTAATACAGATGTCTTGAGCATAATGAGGACTTGATGTATGACTCATGACTCAGGCCATTAGAAAAAATGGAGGGAAGAGAGAATCATACCTTCATCCCAAGAACCTGAGGTGATGGAGGATGATAGGACCACACTCTGTATCAATCCTTCTCCTCTTCATGATCCTTTTACATGGCAAAGTGCATTTGCTTACATGGAAGAAATGGCCTTAAATTAATGATGGCTTAGAAATGTGTGTGGTATCGTCTATGCATTGCATTGCTTTTTGGTAGGCACACAACTGTTAATAGCATTGTGTTAGGAGGAGCAGGGTACTCTGAAATGAAAGATCAGTCTCTCCAAGTATTTGGTTTTTTCACAGTTGATTTTAAGTTAACAGATCTTTTGTTAGAAATGTATGTCGTACCTCAGGGCTGAAACCAGATGGCACAGTAGAAGGAAATATGTTTGTGTGAGTTTTTATCCTCAGGATTGTAAAAAAACCCCTAGAAGGTGATGTCCTCCAGTTCTGTGTGGATAAATGCATCATCTTCGAATTATTTATTTATTACATTTCTATACTGCCCAATAGCCAAAGGTTCACAGCAAAGGGGGATGCGGGAAAATGGGGAAAACC